AACGTTAATATAAGTTTAACATGACAGCAAATGTAAACTTATATTAACGTTTTTCTTCATTACCCATTTAAGCCGTCTCCAGCCATTATTAGTCTCAAAGTGGGTTCCTCGTCATCGAATTTCAACTACACATTTGTTCACAGAAGGAAAATTTGATAAATATGAGTAGAAATAGGAGAACAAGCAAGGGAACTGTCTTACTACTATAACTGATGAAACAGGAGATGAAAACTTTCATGAATACTTTGAAAAGCTTACATGCAACAAACCAAATCAACTGAATTAATGTCAATAGATGACCAAAGTCAGAAAGGTAATATATATATATATAAAAATCACAAGATTTTATAGCGATTATGCCTCTTGCTACCATTTCTTGCTATTTCTATCTGTAAGCTAATGTTTTGCTCACTGAATCCAATCACATACAGTTTGTAGGGCTTTGTTTTTCCCAATAAAATATGCAAATCATTCAATGAAATGTAAAATGCTTGATAGTTTGTCAGATTTCCCAGTTTTCCCCTGGTGCCTGGGAATACAAAATGCCTGGTCATGAAAGGTTTAAATGTATCACTATTAAAGTTCAAAGCTGTAATAACATTAATTACTGGGGGAAATTTTTTTTACCCAAACTGCTTCTTTTGTCTTTACTAATTACACATTAATATCTTAGTTACGTACCAATTTCTTTACTAATTGCACATTAATAACTTAGTTATGTACCAATTTCTTTGAATTTTTTTTTAAAGATAGACCAGAGGTCCAGTGGTGAGTCGAGGACTCACTCATTATTGATATAGGCTTACAAAATGGAATCAAAGTTAAAACAATTATAAAGGTTTTCATAAAATTTAAAGCCAATGTGGTAAATAATTTTGTGTAAAAATACTATTTCCTCAAGTTATTTCAAGGCATTGTAAAAGACAGGAACATTATCTACAGTAACAGTACTGGCACAATTACCTGATATAAATAAAAATACATAACTAGAAATGGCACAAACTTCATATATTGATTGTATCTAGTGCTCTTGTAACTAAATTTAAAAATTTTTAAAACTCTTAAAAACAATATCTTCAGATAGCTTTTCAATAAACAGGACTTTCTTGGTTTCCACCAGTTAAAAAACAACAACTAATGTTATGAAGTAGTAACAATAAAATAACATGCATGGTAAAAAGCACTTTACTTTTTAAATGTCATTCATATTAATTTCCTAAAAATCAGATAAATATATAATTTATTACAAAAGTTTCACAATAATTAAGTTTTTAAACTAAATCTTAAAACAGAATTTTTTTTACAATTGAAGAAAACATAATTATGATGTTAAAGCAAAAACAGAAATATAAAAGCTTATAAAAAGCTAACTACCTTTTTCTGATTAAAAGATAACACTACACAACTGCTTAGCTTTGACATTATTACATTACGTAAAAACAATCTTACCTGCAAATAGCTTGTAAGAACGAAGAGATTTTTGACTGTACTTGCTTCTTACTTCTTGAGAGAGCAAATCTATAATATCAATAAAATTAACGAAGTAGGTTTTAATGAAAAGATTGTTTGTATAATTACAATATTATTTACTCTAAACTAATAGTTTAACTAGTTAATAGAACAAGGAATACCTCAAAATAAATATGGCATGAAGTAAATTGTTAGATATAAAAATTGTGTTTACAAATTATTATAAAGAAATATTTTTACTTTACTCATATTTCTATTTTACAAACAGATATTGATTTTGTAAATAAAATTATCCAAATGAAACAAAGACAGCACTGATTAGCTAGATTTACAAATGAGCTCTGGGATCATTTAACCCTTTCTGGCTTTTTTTTCTTTTTACAAGATCACATAAAAAGTGAAGGTTAAAAGAAAATTCTGCCTGATCTTCACCATTCAAATCACTTTCAAAATGAAACTGTGCCTGAAATGTTCATATTTAGAATTATATGTTGATATAAAATGTATTAACATTAGTTTTAAATATATTAATTTAATTCTTTTTAAACCCATAGTGTTTTGCTTGTTCTGCTGGAATTATTTTCATGATATCCTAATAATTATCACCACACCTTATAAAATTTCTGGTCTATTTATAAGAGGTGGATAATAAAGTGGTTTGGATTAGTTTTCAGCCAAAGAGACACAGATGTTATTGGAAGCTGTCACAGCCTCATGGATAAATCGGGATTTTTGGACAGATGCTGGCAGTGCCCGCTTTGGTTTAAGGAGTTAAAAAATACAAAATTCTAACTCTAATTTTCACCCCCACCTCCAACTGCCAAAATATTTAAACTTTTCATCTGTACAGATAACTTGTCACCTATGAAACAAAGCTGCAAATATGTGGTTTCTGTACATATTTGTTGCTTATTTCTAGTTCAAAAGGTTTACAAATAATGAAGTTCTGTAGTTAGCGCTGTAAAAAACTCAAATTTTACTAACTGCACTTTTTGTTTTACAATTTTTAAACTTCTTAACATAAATAAAAATCCTGAATATATTGTTTGAAGTTAGGATATTTTCTTTCATATAATCTATAGGATATAGGGCTCACTTTATTTTCTATGTGAATTGTAAATTTTCTTTACTTCTAAAGGTAGTAAATTAATTTTATTTGTTTCCCCTGTTTCTTTTTTTATTTTGCTCAGGAATTTCTTTGGCAGTTGCCTTTTGCTTTACAAATACTTCTGATAATTATTTGAAAAACTAATGGAGTCTTCTGGTGTACTTAGCAGTGGTTCTTTTTTGAAACAGCTGTACATGATTTATGAAAGGAGTACAGGGGCAACTTAGATAACTCTGATGAAGTAAGAAAAAATGCTATTTATTTAAATTAGTTTTCATGATATATATATAATTTATAGTAGGATGTATTTCAACAAAGCATGCTAGCACATGACATCATTAGTCCTGTAATTATGTCGTCGCTAATAAAGATGTGTGAAACTGGCTTTCTGGTCAACACTTACAAGTATACTGCACAAATGCCCTGTAGATAGCTATATAATGTAGTGGTTTTTATTTCATTATAAACTGTAAATCTAGGTTCAGAAATGTTCAATTGACATGCTTTGCATGTGGTGTAAGAGTTATTTATTTTTATCAATGCAAATGCAAAAATAACAATATTCTGCCACCAGGCTAGAAAAGTTAGAATAGTTTAATCACAAGACTGATCACCAGTTTTTGTAAAGGAGCTTTGGATAAATTGTAAAACTTAAGGAACTGATCATTTATTCTTTTGAATAAGTTCTTGCATAATATAAAACACATAAATCCAACAAAGTTTTTGAATGGACTATTGGATCAATCAGTACTAAATACTAGGCTCCTCATCTAGATTTTTAAGTGAACTTAGTTCTTTTCCTAGTTAATGAAATAACACAAAAATACTCTTTAATATAAATGGTTTTAACCAAACAATGAATTCACTGAAAAAAGTAATAAAAGTAACAGGCTTTGTTTACATACTCCAAGTGAGTGTGAAAAAGTACACGTTAAACGAAATACACTAGGCTCACCTCTTGAAAGTTCTAAGGTAACCGAGTATTCTGTACACTTGACTACTTTCTTGGACCCTCCATTCTTATCGTACACAAACCTTTTAAAATGAAGAACTAAAACCAAGGGTAATTCTTCTATGGTGATCCTCCGTGATGCTTCAACCTAAATGAATAGTAGAAACTGTCTGTTAAAATATGTGTAAAGTGCCAGTTGTCCTGCTTAATCTTCTTTGATATATCCTATCAATACCAGGTTACTTAATTTTAAAGCCCATTTACAACAAAATCCAATTGTTATTCTGTGACAATTTTGAAAAGCTATAACCATTCCAAAAATTTTACTGTCATCTCTAACAATGGTTTCCTGAAAGATATGGACTCAGCAATCTGAAATATTTTTTTTATTGTTAACCTTTTCACATAATTTGCTGTTCCAGTCAGATTATTAAACTATGGAGGTGATATCATGCAAAAAAGCAAAATACATAAAGCATTGCTATAATAACCCAATGTTTGTAGCAGTGTTCAATTCACTGTACTCCTAAAGGTTTATAAGATTATGGATTTATGTTATTACAAACTTACAAAATGTACAGACAACAAACATTACATTTTCTCTCTATTTAATTAATATTTCTAAAATTAATTATTATGAATGTATTATCCAGTAACTGCCTGTAAATAAATTACATGTTGTTTGTTGAGAACAGTATGTTGATGTATAGTAGAACTAATTCTAAGAACTTACAACTGAAGGCAATGAAGAATACATGTCATGATATAAAAGACTGTTTAGTTTAGGTATTATTGATTAATTTATTTTGAGTAAATATTTCATGATTGTTTAGTTTTTTCATAACAAGAAAATTAAAAGCAATTATTTTAAAGTAAACATTATAACAAGTTTAGTTGCATAACTCTGTAAGAATCATACGTTGTTTATATATATATTCAAACATCATATGAAATTTATTGATGTCGAGGATATAGAGGTTTCTAGAAGGTGAGCAGATGATTAAGTGATAAATATATATAAATAGTGTGAGATGAGCAGGAACAGCAGATAGACAGAGCAGATGAGAAAGTAAAGTCACAGGAAGTAGAAGTTAAACGTAAAGTTAACTGCCATAGGAGTGAAAGGTCTAACGGTTAATATGTTAGACTAAAAGCAAGTTTTAAGAGATAAAAAGTATAGTTTATTCCATCAAAGCGAGTTCTAAAGTAATTGAACCAGCCTGAGTGCACCTTGACAAAAGGAATAGACGATATCTGAAGTATGAAGACCAGACGATTACTGTAAGAGCAGTATATGTTTGTAGTCACCTACGCTATAATTGGAAGTGAATTATACAATTGAAATTCTAAGGTAATTGAATAGGCCTAAGTGGACTTTTGACAAGAAGAAGAGAACTATATATATGTGTTCATGACATGCCTATAATCTCTATAGTGGAGTACGTGCTGTTCATTTATCATCAAATTTATCACCAACAAGTCACAGACACCTACTGTAGAAGGATCCTTAGCCATATTATTCAACCTACTTACTAAATACTGCTACTATATATAATATTAAGAAGAATAAGCCCTTTATTTTGACAATATGTAATAAGTCAACCATACTATATCAGCTATATTCAGTGCCAACGAGGCAGGCAGGCTAGGATATCACAAACATAGTATTGGTCAAAATGATATTTATATCAATTTTCATGAGCAAAAACTCTTATAGTGTGATATAGATTAAGTAAGCGAAGTATAAATATTACTAATCTTATTAAATTTTTTTTCTACTCACTTGGTGAATTACACTGACCTTGCGACCCCAAAGTGACCATCGGAGTTTCCATACTGTAACTTTTAACATTATTTGTGTATCTTCACAAAAATTTTCAAGCTTTTACAAGTCTTTTATATATATATACAAGAAATCAGAATTTTTAGTTAAGCATTTTTACTAAAAATTTCTGCGAGTGTTGACTTTTCCAACGATTAAAAACACTTTCTTCATCTGAAAATTTTCAAATTTCATTTCTATAATCTCAAAAACCTCCTAAATAAATATCAGTTTTTTTTCCAGAAAAACTTTATATTCTATCTGTTGTTTTCTCTACCCTAACTTTACAAAAGGTCTGTTAATTTGGCCTCACTTGTACCCATCATATAATTTTAAAGGTTTAAAAATGCAAAATAAAGTGAGTAGAACTGTTCTATCCTCTTTAGTATTGACCACGAAGTTCCAAAGTACTTTCCCCGAGAGTTTCTACTTTTAACCTTTTAACATCTATTTCCTATGTTTATTTTACTGTTAGTAGCTGAAGTTTAAGCCTGCCGATTATATAGTAATAGATCACTTGCCATTACTGTTTGTGACACCATACTAACAGTGTTAAAAGGAAATAAGCTCATGCAGCCTAATTACCAGGACTTTCCCGCCAAGTTTATCATAATCTCAGCTCCAAGGTCGCAATGGGAGAGGATTTATCAGCATGTTTATAATACAGTGGTTGCAATAATAATTGTCTAAAGTTATAAAGGTGTGACAAAATGTATATAATATGGCTCTGTACAAAGCCCAGGCCAATCTAATAAACTTGGTAGGTATTTGGATGTTATCCACCTCAGGTGGTTGGAATTTAGCAGTATAGGTTTACAAAGTGTGTAAGTACTTATGAACATGTATATATATATTATTATTATTTACTCATAAATGCTTAATTTTTAGATATTTTCTTAAAACATAACACAATAATGTTACAAAATTTATTTATACTCATGCATCATACTTGCTAAGCCTTGTTTATTCTCTCACATAGAGGGGGAAAACAAACTACTTTTTTATAGATTACAAAGATGCATTTTAGAAAACCCAAAAATTATCAAACTACAATACAGGTACACATAAAACCACTGGAATTTATCTATCTTTCTAACTAAGCTGTATGGGAGTTAAGAAAAATCTCATTTCTATTCAAAGCAATGACTTACTTGACAGATTTCAAGATTTCCAGTCAACTAGAAGTTACCCATTCAAGCCAATTACAAATGTTTGTCAGATATAAATAGTTTGAAATGTGCTCTTTCTATTGGTTATACACATCTACTTAAGAGAAGTAGGCACAAGAAGCTTCAAAAGAATGGAGTAGTGGGCAGGGCTACACTCGTAGGTTTGCAAAATATATCAATATCTCAGCAAATTAAAAAGGGAGGTTTTAATTTCTATTATAGCTTGTAAGTGTGAAGTTTGAGTCTTTAATTCTTTAACCATTATAGATATTGTACTGTAGACATAATAAAAACTGAACTCTAAGAACACATGCCATATGACACAGGATGAATACTTGGCATTTTTTAAAACTATTTTCTTTAAAATTAAGAATTTAAAACATATATAATATTAAACTTTCAATTATAAACTATGTTGTGATGGCTATTTCATTGACATACAATGATAATAAAGTTGTTTAATTAAGGTTTGAAAATAACTTGAATATCATAATGTATGCCCTTTGACCTGTACATTGAGAGAGAAAGAGTGTTGTCATTTATGAAGAGAATTAAGGTGAAAATGAATAGTGCAGTATTGATTATTTATTTTTAACACCAATTATTTCTTCTTCTTATTATTAATTGAACTAACTATCATTTAGAAGAACTGCCAAACCAGCAATCTAGTCTTATTGTCAGAGCTAAAATTACATCTTAAATTTAATAACTCTGGCTATTTCACAGGAAGTATACACTGCAAAATAACACAATTATCAAATACATCATAACATACATGCATTATATATTTAAATTGTATTTAATTAATGCTTCCAAGTTGAGACATGACAAAACATAATTTGGAACTTTTTTTTTTTTATAAAACCAACAATTTTTTTCTAAGCACTTGAACAAAGTACATAAACTTATTAAGATATTATGGTACAGCTAAAGTTACTTTATCATTATAAAATCTTTGCACTTTCATTTTGCTTTGCCAATCCCTATGGAATGTCTTCTATAAAATTAACAAATCTTTTTTTTTAGGCTCATCTTACAATATGTGACCTAGCTTACAGACAGCTTTTTACAACCACACACACATGAACTTCTCACCTCTTGCTTAGTTTTAGCAGATGTGTAACCTTGAACAAGCTCCTTGCTTGTAAGATGATTTAAAGCAGATAGCACTGAAACAACCCTTTCTGACTGAAAAAAATTTAAAGAGTGTCAATACCACTTAAAATACTATCATTTTCATAGCTAAAACAAAAGGAATAGTTTAGTAATATTCAAAAGGATGTACCATAATATTTATACATTGTATAAAATAAATTCTCTACTAGATTTTATATTTAGAATATGTAAGAATCAAAATTGATTAAATCTTAAATAATATTTAATTATTAGACTTCTATCATACCAATACTATATGAAAAATCAGTTAGTAATATCTGAAAAATAGGAAAACAGTACATACCTGAATATCAAGTTGTAGCGTAAAAAATGGTTGTAGAAAAGCAGAAGATTCATTTCCTGTTGTCAGAACTGATCGTATCTGGCCACCAAAAATGTCAGAAATTGGGGACCGAGAAAATTTTGCCTATATATATATATATATATGGAAGAAAAAAAATTTACAACTGATTCAGCTAGGAATAAATAAAAATCTCAAATTGTTATACATATGAAACTAACCTTCATTTCAGTAATAGAGCTTCCTTGTTAATCACTGCTTTCAGGTAGGTGTATCATTAAAAATTCAGTTACTTTAATAGTTTTCTTACCTATTGTGCAGTCCAATTCAGTACTGAATCTGCTTCTTACTTCATATAATTTGCATATTTGAATTAAGCTAATTAGAAAACCCAACCACATGTTAAGTCTGTCTCATATAACTTACTGTCACCCATTGATGTAGAGAGAAGGAAACTAGTCATATTAATTTATAATTGTGATTACTTTTCCAGCTACTCAGAGTAGGCATGGATTTTGGGTGTGTGAAGCCCCTAGGCAACTGTGGTTGTGAGGCCCAGGTTTTGTGATCACTGATCACATATCATTACAATTTTAAGAAAGAAAACTGGCTATCAAATTCCTAAAAATTTATTCACAAACATACCTTTTAATTCTTTCAGCATGGGTTCGGTCCCTGGGACCGACCTCATAACCATTTTGTGCTTGTTATAGTTTTAATGCTGTAACTTTCAAATTAGTAAGCGCATGTTCACGAAATTTGGCAGATTATTAGTAAACATTACAAGGCATTTATATGCAAAATATCAGATTTTCTTTTTGTTATCGAGTCTTAAGGTTTGTTAAGCAAGGTTTTTCTCATGCCTTTTTCTTTTAGCATGTTGCCTATCCAACATTCAAAGTAACTTTCATTTTAAGATTAAAAATACTTTTATGCATCAGAAAATTTTCAAATTTCACGTGTGAAATCTTTATAGCATCCAGCTAGTTATCAAATGTTTCTTAAGAAGAAACTGTATTTTATCTGTTATTTTCACTAACGAATCTCTGTACGGGTTTGGTCGATTTGACCAGTCTCGTAACCACCATAAAAAATTAGGAAATATATATAAATTATGCCTTTTTCATTCTAGAATGACTACAAGTTATAACACAAAAACACACGTTTAGACTAAATAGCTTAAATCTCATAACATTATACATTTATATACATTTGTTATATTGACCTTTCAGCCTTGCATGGCTGACATTAACAATACAGAAGTTACAATGACGCAACTCATGTTACCGTATCCAATAATATAAATCTGAACTTTAGTCGTTACAAAGTGAATTATTTTGGCTGTGTTTCAGGGAACTAGTATTTTGTAAAATACAGTCACATTTCAATTATTATACATAATATATATATATACTACTTACAAATAAGTTCTAAATTTTATTTTTCTTAAAGCATAGAACAGTAAATAAAGTAAAGCAAACAATTATCTATTCTAGTCACGACCTTTGTACTCATTTGCTGCTTGTCATAGGTAGCTGAGCCTTATAAAATTTCACATGTGGAGGACGTGAAATAATTTTTTTAGGTTTCATGTATACATTTGAAATAACCAAAAAAATCATAAATTACTATATCTATACCATAGAATTCCACTATAATATATCAAGCTTAATAAGTAAGCTGTATTTGGGTCTACAAAATATTGAAATTTTGAGCAGACTAAAGACCCACCTTACCAGCTTGAAGATTTGTATTGAAAGAACGAGGTGATGTCATAATACTTGAAAATGACTGGGAAAGTCACTTGGGGGACATTCTGGGGTTTTGATTGGTTATCACATGTCACAGACAGAACTAAGTGACTCACTAAGTATAAGTGAGTGTTTCTAAAAATGGAAAAAGCCGAGCAGGGCCACTGTGTTTGATTCAGTACATGAGCGATATCTCAGCAAATAGTAAAGATAGGGGGTTCTTATTTTATATTCTAGCTTGTTAATATTGGTAATTTGAGTTCCTAATTCATACAAAACTATAAACTTTGTATTTTGACATCACAAACTTCTAATTTGAACCAGTGCTGCATTCAACGTACAATGTGACACACAAAAAATCGATGTTTAGGTGTGTTTTTTAATATTTATTTTTAAATTAAGAAATTAAATAATGTATAATACTAAAATTTGAATTGTATTCTACAGTTTGATATCAAAGTTATTGGCATAAATTCCTAAAATAGCAGTTCAATAAAATCAACAAATGTGATGACATGGCCTTTGACCCATGTGGAAAGGGTTAAATAAAAACTTTTTTAAAACACAAACATGTATTATTTATATTTGTGTAGGGAAATACATTATGCTAGAAGAATTGTATATATGACAACTATATGTAAACATAATTAAAAAATTTAATACATACGTGTTTTGACAGAGCATTGGTCTGTCTTCTTCAGATATGATACACATCGAAACAAAGAGGTTTGTATACAAAACAAAAAATAATCTCCAGGGACTATGGGTAAAAGGACGTAACAATGAGATGTTATCATGCAACGACAAAATATTGTGTCAGAGTTATTACTTAAATGAAGGTCAGAGGGAGTGGGGAGTCCTGTGAATACATTTTGCCATATATTGTTAATGTTAGTAGGGCCATTGTCTCAGTTTAAAAATAAAACACCTGTTTTCATCATTTCAATGCTTTCAAGACTATTTTGTTCTATTTTATGTTTTGGTTGGTATAAGAGGGACATTTTTTCCAAAATAATTCTACGACCGATTTCAAATTGATGACGTGTTAAGGCATCTTTTTCGAAATCCGTTCTACACATATGACTTTTTGTCTATTTCAAGAGGTCGGGGAGTGTGTCCAATATATTTCTTAGCACATTTACATTCTATTTTATATATGCCTTGTTTTTGTTCGTTCTTTAGAGCTTGTTTTAAGGTGGGTAATAAAGCACTTATCTTATGTGAGGGGTTATATACAATTTTTATTTCAGGTTTTCAGTTATTAAATAAATTAGTTATTCCAATAGCCATTTCAGAAACAAAAGAAAACATTTTTGTTTTGTATATAAACCTCTTTCTTTGAATGTGTATGCTCTGTCGAAACATGTAGTATTTCATTATGATTACAAATCGTTGTGTCATGTGTATATATATATATATATATATATACACACACACACACATTCACTACACATCAAACACAAACACTTAAATAAAACTTAATGAAAAACGAGTGCATCACTAATTCTAGTGGGTGAGCTTTTTAGGCCAATATTGATTGTATCTCAAAGTCTTCAAATAGAACAGCAGCATTTGGTTCACTGAAGCTCATGACCTTGACCATGCACATTCAAAAAGCTTACCATTGCCTAGAGGGCAAATGAAGGTCGAGATAGCTATGAGGGAACATAGGTAGTATCATTTTGGAATTGGTATGTTATGATTTAGCTTTAAGACAAACTCACTTATTTCAGTGGTTTGAAATTAATAATTTACTTACTCAAAAAGCATATGCATAAAAATGTTAACTTCTAATTTATTTTGCTCAGTGTAATAAAAATAAACTAAAAAAGATGAGTATGATAACTATTTGTTAGTATATTCACTTCTAGCCACTTCAGTGATACTTTGATTAACCTGGTCAACTTAAAAGTTGAAAAAAACTGCTTTTATAAAACACAGTCTGATAGGTTTTTCTACTTCATAGTTTTTAATATAACTAACCCTAAATTATATTCACATAGGCTAAATTTTGGGTTTTTACTTACAGATCTGGTCAAAATACTTTTTTTTTTTGGTCCCATCACCTGCCATCCTTCATCTTTATCTTCTTCCAAATGGCCATTAGTTGGCATTTCTTCATTACCAGCTTGAAAACAAATAATAGTTTACTTATTTTAGTTGTATAAATATCTAAAATGGATTATCACACATGGTACAATTGAAAAAGTAAAGAGAATTAGAATGCTCTTGAAGCCAGTGTGAGAAGAATATTTTAGTAATACTCACTGTTTTTCACTTCATCTTTTCTTATAATTTGTAGAACTGCTAGCATTTCCTCATGCAAACCATTTAAAATACAACTTAAAAACTCCTCAGCATCTTCCTGATGACCCTATAAATAAGTTAAATTAAACAAATACCATGAGAAGAGTGCAAAAACCAAAGCACTTGATCACAAGAAATCAAATAAAACTAACATATTATTTTGATGAAATCTCATTCAGCACCATAGTTTTAAGTCAGAAGTATGAAATTATCCAGAGATTTCACACTGAATAAATAATAAAAAGAATAAGTGGTGTTCCATCAAATTGTGTCATAGTTTAATCTGATAAATGCAATAATAGTACACATAAATACCAATATACTATTTTGTTGTAACAAAAAAGAACCACAACAAAGAAGAATTTTACACAAAAGTCAAAAATACTTAATTGACAAGTGCTTTAAACCAATAAACAAAACATAAATTATACCAAATGTTAGTTTTACACAACTGGAACTCTAACACTTCAAAGACATTTAAAGGTTTTTAGAGTCAACTTTTGTCACTTTTTTGTCAAGTAATTTTTATGATTGTTTTAGTAGTGTGACAAAGACATGTTAGTGTCAATATGGGTGTAGAAAACATAAGCTACACAATATACAGATTTCAGTTATTCCAGAAAAGAAACAAACCCTAGTCACAAGGTCTAGGGACCTTTAAAAACATTTCGGTGGAGGTTGTTTTCTAACCAAATTCTCATAAAGCAGAGTAAAGGTTAGTGTCTGTTACGTAAGTAATATAGACATGCATGTGTGCTGAATGTGTGTAATATGTAATAGTTTAAGAAAATTTAAACATAATATACTTTAATAACCGATGACATTAAAAATGGATCAAAGAAATAAAGAAAAATCTAATGATTCAAAGACACTTCTCACAACAAATGAATGTTAGATTTTATACACACCATAACATAAAAAGGTATGTTTGACAATACTATCTACATTTTTACAATCTTTAATCTTTTCTTTGTCTCTCTCTCTCTCTCGTATATACATATATATATATATAAGCATATATCACACAATTTATATTTTATTTAAAAAACTGTTTCTAAAGCCTAGAATACTAATACAACTTATCAATAAACTGCAATGTCTTTTATTCAAAACGTTTACTTAAGGGTAAACATGTGAAACATACCTTCACACATTCTGATCTTATCACATTCAACATTTTATATATGTTTACTGGCTCAAAAGAAAGTCCAATAACAAGATCTTCTTTTCTTTTATTCCTGTTACCTTGAGGGATGATTGGAAATTCTTGTACGAACTCCATTCTAAATATCATAGTCAATATTTAAGACTGTGCCTCGCATATTTTGGTATGTTAGTATATATTTAAAAGTTTTTACAAAATAAAACAGCAAGTTATACTTTATTAAACATCTTTAAAATGCTAAAACAGTAACAAGCAAAAAATTATATGCATTAAATGATTATAGAATAACATTTTGTGAAAAAAAACCCAACTATTTTCATGAGATAAAATTCTTACAGATTCCTACTTCACTTTTAAATTGTTAGTTTTAAGACAGAAAATGATCATCTGAAGATTTAAATACATATCACAGCTTACATTGCAAAATATATATAACTGGTTTCCTAATGTTTCTTCTGTTGTCAAATTCAGTTTGTTTTAAATTAAGAATGTTTTCACTCTTTTTTTTTATCTTTATCTTTGTAGTATTCTGTAATGAACTAATTTTACAATTTACAAATATTTGGGTCATATTTATTTTCTAAAGAAACATCCAAGAAATGAACACTGTTGATGATCTAACCAGAATTTTTTTCCAAAATTGTTAGCACACCAGAGAGAATTTTTCTTCTTCAATACAGGATGGAAAATAAAAAGATCATTTGAAGTGTTTCACTGAACACAATGGTAAGTGAGAATGCATGTTAGGCTCATTTGTACATTAGGATCAAGTTTTATGACACACACACAGATGGCATAGTGTCAGACCCACATGTCCCATTGGGAGGCATTTCTAATCATGACAGTAGTAGTTATCAATGATGAATTACTAAGACTTTAACCTGTAAAACTGGTTGAATCTCTAATGGAAATTGGATGGGAAAATGATAAGTTTTAACTACATTTATGACTTAATGTAGAGAGAACAATATGCTGTTAAAAGCTTTGTATGATACAAAGAACTTAATTTAGTAAACTGGCAAAAACCTATAAAGAGCAAGTTTCCTGCGAGTGATCTTTCCATTTTAGTAACTTTTCTGATTATTTTACTATAAATCTTGTATTAAAGCTCTGCACAGCCACTGCTTCACATTGAAGCTTCAGAGAAGAGTGGTCATCAAATATAAAAGTTTATCAACTATTAATGGCATCTAAGTTTACAGTTTTGCCTTTTATCAATACCTGAATAAAAACGCATTTCTTAAATTATAGGATTACAAGACTGAACTTTAGAGGTCCAACCACTGTGAAGGATCTATGTACACATTTTTTGATACCTATTTTAAAGATCTTTCTTTAAAATCAAAACAAAAAGTATATTAATGTTGTTTTATATTAACATAATACAGGATCAATATATTGATGTATATACTTTACACTAGCAAATACTTTTAAGACACTTTTTCTTAAGTAGCTTTTGGAAAAATCTATTAACAGTAAATAATTTTACTAATTAGCAGTTATAATTTTAAAACTTTTAAGACTGACCATTTTAGTTGTATTCAAACTGGAGCAAGAATAACATTTAAATCTCACAATTAAATAAGCCTCTCAAAGTATTGGACAAAAAAGTGAAAAAGAAAAATTAAGTTAGGCTAGGTCAGGTTTACATGATTTTTATCAAATTCCTTTTCAATGCTTCACCAGCTTTCGACATTTAAACTGTCTATATTAAAGAAATTTCTAACATTCATTGAAATAAGTTTTCTTTTTAAAACTCCTGCCTGATATTTTTATGATATCACTATAATTTACATACACACAAATGAACCTGTAAATATTTTAGATTAAAAAAAGGGGAATAACATTAAAACAAAAACAGCAATTAAATTTAAGGTTTATCTAAGAATTTCAAATAGCTGTTTTATTTTACTTACAGGCTATCCAAGATTGGGGTTGATGACTTCTCACGGTTCTGTCCTGATACGCTAGTTAACTGTTTTAGAAGATTATACAAAGGAGGACATACCAATAAGGCTTGCAATGTCTGAATGATGCAATGTTAAAAAAAAAGTACATATACATATGTAATACATGATTAGTAAATATTTTTACCTCTTTTAATTACAACTAGTATTAAATAATTAACAATAAATTAGTAATTAGACTTAGGTGATCATAAATGCTACAAAACATGACAATAATAAATATTTTATCACTAAACTTTACCAGAAGTACATAGTTCACAATACTGATTCCTGACAGTTTTAAAAAATGACCAACATAGACAGCTTAACCCTATTTTCATGGGCTCAGTCATATTGATTAACCCTGGATTTGTGAAGCTATACATACTGACTTTTACTATAGCTCTGAATTTACTAAGTATGTCTTCAAGAAATTTGACAATCTTTTAGTAAATCTTATACGTCTGTTGTGTACAAACATTTACTTTTTGATAAAGTATTTTTACTAAAGATTTGTCTAGAACTTCCAAAGCCATTATCAAGTCAGCCAGAGCAAAAGGTGAATTGCATGCCAAGAATATAAATAATTCATCTTACAGTTTCATATTTCATTTGCATAACCTCTACATCCGACTAAATGAATTACAATTTTTTTGAAATATTTAATACTTTATCTCTTATTTTCTCTATCTTAACATTAACAACATACTGGATTCTTGAGTCTGTAGAGAAATCATCAAAATACAGTTCAAAATATGAAATAAAATGAATATAATTCTTGTTTCTAAACTGACTTGAATATTGTTAAAAAAAATTCTAATTACTTCTTTTAACAGTTTGAATGCAAATGTTAACATTTCCACATCTATCTTCTTTTATGGTTTTTATTTTAGTACCTTGTACCCACTAGAGCAGTAATCTTCACATCCACAAAGCAATAAATCACAGCAGGAGCAATTAATTGTTCCCAATGCTGGTAATATACACAGCACATGGAATAGAACAGGCAAGTGTTGATTAGCTTGAGGGTGGGGAATTTTAAACATTTTGTTTTACTTAAGTTTTTTTAGGTTAAGTTGAGAAGTATATAATTTTCCACTTTAATTACTTTTGTTAAAACAATATGTAACAATTACTAAAGATTTGTATCACTCATTGCATACCTGAGCTCGTTTACACTTGAGTAAATATTAAAGCTGTTTTTCCCTAAGCCTTATTGAGTCTTAGCTTTATAGCTTTCTAAATAAGCTATAAATAGGTTTAAAATAATTCTATATCATTTGTACAAAAGATAATTTTCTCTTTCTAATGGTTATAAACATTTTCATCGGCCATGTAAAATTGATTAACAAACAATCTCGAAATTCAGGAGGGACTTATCCAATGGGTTTGACAATTTTATTGACATCTCATCCAATCATGAAGTTAAAAAGTATGAATTTTATATTCTTGACTGTAATTATGTATGGATTGAGATTCTAATTATTTGGAAACTGAAGCTGCCTACTCTTGATGTTAGAAGTTTCTGATGTAAAGAAACTGGAACTCACAATGTGCCACATGATACAGAAAAATTAAGACTAATTTTTAAAATTTCTTTTTGAATTAAGAAGTTAAAATTTATACACTATAAAAACTTGAATTATAAGCTACGTTTTTCCTTGCCAAGTTTACTGACATATATTAATAATATTTGTTTAATCAAACATTCAGTGTTATCACTGTGAAAGGCTGTTAGCATACATAAAAGCAAACACCTGGATGCAAAGGGTTAAAGTATATCTATTTTAAACGATAAAGATGTAATGCTGTTTTTAACCACAATCAGTAAAGTATCATCCATTTCAAACTATCCTTGATAACAAACAAACAAAAGAGAATTGAATTATACAACAGTTTCAAACATTAAAGCATATTTTAAACATGATTACAAGTTAACGAAAATCAGATTCAAATGAGCATAAAAATGGAAGAAATACAGAGTTCAATATTCTTTCAAAGGTCCATGTTTACTAAATTAAAAGATCTAAAAATTTTACAAGATAGAAATTGAAATACTCTTTCATTTCCTGCATTACTACTTCAGGTTTAAAAGTACAATGTTATTGAATGTGTATTCTTTCTTTTTATGTATATAATCTGATATTACAAGAGTTGTACATTAGTGTTAGACAGAAATATTTACCCATTTTGTATTTAGTACTGATTTTTATTGTTCTTGTACATAGTACTATATTAACATTTATTACTTCAAAACATTAAGGATACAGCATTAACATAGCACCAATTACTTCGATTAGTAAGTCCACGAGGCTGTAGAAATGCAATGCTATGGTTTAGATGTGTACTTTCAAAAATCTCTGCAAAATAAATGAAAACAAGGAATGTCAGAAGGAAATATAAATAACTTGAAATTCAAAGCCTTAAATAACTAAAACCAAAGCTAACAAATTCACACATGTATAAAAGCATAATACTTTAAAACAGTGAATTCATGAATCACTTTTTAATTATATGCAGAACTTGCAAGATAAAATTGAGGAGTACCAGCCCAAAATTATTCCGAGAAAAAAATTCTTATAAACAAGAATGCATTTTTTTTTAAAAGTTGATGAAATTAAATCAATGTCAACCTAATATATATATATCAATGTTTGGTATGTGAACATCTCTTTCACATTACCATATGCTATATAACCCGTAAGAAGGCTACTTCTGATGTCTACTTACATGCTATCATATACTTTTGCCTCAATCACAGTCAATCTAACCTTGAAGTTTAATTTAACTATACATACCAGCAGGACAAATTCAAATATTATTTCCATTAAATATACACAGATACTTCACAAGTAGACTACTACGTGTACTTTACCCTATTCTGGCAGTCAAAAACCAGGCTGACCTTAATGTTTATGTGAATGTAACTATTGGCAGTAAGTTGAAGTTCATGTAAGAAAGTTAGATGAAGCATGGTGGCTCTACTTCTGTATTCATGCATTTACTACACTTGATCATACAAAAAAAACAACTCTTTAATCATCAGAAACATTATAGAAAGAAAAGGGTAGCTGCAACTAAAAACCAGGTTTGCTTACAAAGAGTTTAACAGAAAAGCATCATAAACAATTAAGAAATTTAAATTGAATGGTATGACAGGAGGCTTAGAAGATCAAGTAAGTTGATGAAACAGGAAATCAGGACATCAAAAAGGATGTATGAGAAAAGGTTGGCTGAAAATTTAAAAGTAAGGATTTCTTTAAATACATTAAAGGTAAAGAAAATGTTAGGATGGGGGTAAGACCCTTAAGAGATGATAAATAAAGGAAGGCTCATATCTGATGTTTATGAGATGGCTGGGTTATTAAATTTAGCCTTTACTTTGGCTTTTACTAACAAAGATTTAAGCAGTATTCCACATCTTGAAAAGATGATAGATTAAAATGAGATTGAACAATATGACTGCATTAATTCTGAGCTGGTTAAGATACAATTGGAAAATTTAAAGAACGATAAGGTTCCTGAGACAGATATTTCCTCGAGGGTTTTGAAGGAGGTTAAAAATTGGATATTGAGCCACTTGCTACTACTAAAAATCTGACCTCTTAAGAAGACTTTAACTTCATACTCACCTACAAATTGAATCACGAAAAAAAGTAATTAATCCCAAAGCATACTTACTAGCTAACTTGTAGGCTAAAACATCATCTTCAGCGTTCACAATTTTAGAATTCTCCATAGTTTCTGGATCTTTTTTTTCATGTTTTATTGGTGTTGTCTTGGGAGAAACAGAAGGAAGTCTTTCTTTTTCAATTTCCAGTACAGTAGCAGGACAAACACTCTGGTTCTTAAATAAATCTGCACCTGACCGTCTTTGCCACACATTATCAGATGTCACTTTAGTTACACCTGATGGGGCAGCAGATATAGCATCATATAATTCTCCGAGTTCATTTTCTATGCCAACTGAAGTTTTAGGGTGTGTATCTGTAACTAAAAAGTCTGATGTTGTAAAACTAACATCAGGTTTTTTCCCTGTAAGAAATGGTGAGTTTTCTGAATCAGCTAAAGACACATTATTTGCCAGAGTTTGTTCTAACACAACTGTGCATCTATCACTATCTTTTATAGCACTTGAATTAACAGTTTCATCAGCTGGTAACAATTTATCAAACTCATGTCCATTACAGGATAATAGCCCTTGATCAGTTTTTACACAATTATTACAATTGCTTTCTTTCCTTGTAAACGTTTTTATTGTAGGTATGTTTTGACTGTTCTGGTTTTCTGGTTGCACAATATGAAGGGTATTAATGTGGGATTTAAACATATTAGAATCCTTGCTTAGTTGGTCCTGCTGATTAAACAAATCAATCTCCACACTTCTTGTATTACTGGAACTACAGGTGGGAGTAACGTGTAACTCTTGAATTCCACCATCAATGCATGGGACGACTGAAGTGATTCTTGCACCACTATCATTACTGTTGGTCTCTCCTTTTCCTCGGTTGAAATAACCACTAACAACTTGAGATGACTGAGTATGGATAAATCTAGGATATGCAGGTGGTATAAATGGAACTGGATATAATATTGGTGGGGAAGGCCTTTGGTGCTGATAATGAACAGGGCTCATACCAGGTGGATAACCGGATGCAGTCTCTGTCATACAAATGGTGTCTGTGGAGCTAGGAAAACTGGAAGCAGATACAGTAAAAGGCACTGGAACCAAACTTGAGCATCCTGTAGGCAGAGAATCTTCAAAAACAGATCCTTGGGGATTTGACTGCTGTTCTTTTGACTTGTTAACTGAGCTATAATAGTCAACCGATTCCTTATGCTGGTTACTCTGCTTTTCACCAGCAATGTGCTCATTTATTGGTGGGTTTAAAGTTTTGTTGGGTTTAGCTGGCTGAGCAGAGTTGCAATCCCTGCTGGTAGTATGAGTGGGAAAAGCAGGGGGTAGAGTGGTACGTTGAACAAGAGAAACTTCTTGCTGATCAAAACTGCTTGTAAACACTGGCGAGTTTAACTGTTGAAAGTGAGAAGGAAGCAATGTATAAGAACAAGGTATGAAAGGGAAAGCTTGGGAGGCAACCAGATGAGGAACACTTGTAGGCCCACTTGGAGATATAAAGGGTGGAGGTACCACTGGATGATTAGCTGGAGAACCAGTTTGATGATGAAATCTAGGAGCCTCACATGGGTTCAGTCTTGGAGAATGATTAGAGTTTTCTATTGCATTTTGAGTCTGTTCACTTATGATGTTATCTAAATTAGGAAAGCAATAGTAACACTTATTTCTTGCAATAGTATTGTAAACTGATACAATTTACAAAAACCTAAATCTATTTGACATGAATAAATGGTGCTAAATTATACTTCCTACTTTTTAATTTAAAAAGTTTTATTAATCTGTTTAAAAGCAATACACTTTGTGGATGATAATTATTTCCTGATATAACAAAATCACAAGAAAATGATATGAACCACATTTTCTCGTTCAGGATTAACAACATAAATCTGTCTACTCTTATAAATATAATGTACATAAATATAATACTATTTCATTTAAAATGATAAAAACCCTATAACCCTGAGCACTTTCAAAAGTGCTAACCTAACCTTTCTTCTTCAGGGGTAAACTACCAAAGAAGAAGGGTCCATCTTTCAAAAGTGCTTAGGTTATAGGGTTTTTGTCATTTCATATTAAGACTTCTTAAAACTGGTGTTTTTCTGACATCACGAATACTCTTCCATTTGTACAATTTTGCAAACAATATAACCTGGCTTGTGCTTGTACACCTATAAACAGATACAGATTATCAATTTCCAAATGACAACTCTTAATGGATTATGCTTATCATAGAATAAAACATTTTATACCTAGTTTTCAAGGCAACCAGTGAAGACTATGGGATTTTACTTTTTTTCTTCTCTCTCTCTCTTCTATCTTGACATCATTTCAGTGTCAATTGGCTATATAAGTGAACTTAGAGACTTTCATAGAAAGATTTTGAAATATTTTATTGAAATTAAAAAAAAAACATGCGTTGATCATCAGTTAAATTATTTTAAAGATGTATTTGGTTATTGACATTTTTACATGGTTTTTTAGTTATAGTACAACCTTAAGGCACAGGGAGTCAAAAAAGACCTATCTAAAGTATTTAATTTCAAATTATGTGCTTTTATTTGTATTTCATACAATTATATTTTCCAAAACTTAACATTGCATGCATTTTTTTTTCATTTAAGCAATTACTAGTGTAAAATTTGTAATTATCCTAATTTTAGAAAAAAATGTTATTATTAATATTTAACTAAATTGTACTTGATTGTACAGAAAAATGTCTATACAAGTACAAATGTTAATAATTTATAAAGAACTACTAAGATACTTGCTGAATCTTAACAAGTATATTTCAATTGTATAGTCACAGTATTTGAGATATTTATCTTTTTATCATAATTTCACCATTAATACCATCAAGTCATTACACCCCAAAAAGGGGGAGTGTTGAAGTGTTAAATTTTCCAGAGATATATATATATACATAGCTAAAAGAGTGCCATGGTTCCATACAACAAAAAGAAACTGTGAGAACACTGAAAATTTGACACAAGTCCAAAGAGTCACAAAATTTTCGTGCCTTCTTTGAGCTTATACAAAAATCTACTCTGAAATGGAGGAGTTCATTTATATCTACTTTGTCCAAACAGGTAAACGGTTTTACTTTCAAAAGCTATATTAAGTATATTATCACATTCATAACTTTTGGGCTGTGTTAAACCTTTAAAACATGGTTGAAATTTCAAATAAGCATCCAATAGCAACAAGGGTTTACATAAAATATACCTTCAGCTTTCCCTAACCGACATTGTAAAACTGGATAAAAAAAAATATATATATATATATATATAAAAATTAAAATTTAAGGAAAAATAGTCAGCGAAGTTTACAGATATTTAAGATAAAATTTTCAACTTTTAACAGCATACTTTAACTTGGTTACTTCTGATCAGTAGAATTAAAAAGCTATTCATCTTTTGGAATAGAAGGAAGGAACAAGTATTAACTTTCTCAATAATTCATCATAGACCTTCTGCAATAGTATTAAGTTTGTTACAAAGTTTTTACTATCTAGAATGTAAAAACTAAGCTCAGCATTTAAAATTTACACTGTTAAATTAGCAAACTGTTAGTTTAAAGTTTTTAATTGTTATTATTTTTCTTGTTGAAGCCAAAATGACTAGACTAGTATCTAACAGTGATCAATTTATAAGCTGTACAATCGTATACATACATCATCACATTCTAAATTTGGCTGATGCTGTATCATGATTCTTTCTTTAAAAAATTGGGCAGTAAAATTCGTATTAACTGAGTTTCACTGGTTTTCTATCAACAAAACAATTTCTTGACTAAACTGAGACTGAACTATGATGACCACTAATCAGTATGGCAGCCCTTGTGACTTCTTGTCATGCAGAAAGTAGTTCATCAAATGCAGTTTAGGCTACAATCAAATTTGCTAAAACTCTTTTTGTTAGTCTGAATTTGCCAATAATTAATATCCAATTTTGTAATTTAAACTTTAAGCATTGTCTTAGTTTCTCAGTTACAAATATTTGATGTTTTAAATAACAATGTTGTTCAAAAACGTTCTATTATTACATGTGTAACATCATTAGTCTAGACCAATTAAAATTAAAGAATTAGAGCCATAGTAGCCAATAAGTTCACACAAAGTTAGCTATGAGCTTGTCTGTGTATACAAACAATGGCTAATGCCATAACAATTAATAACAACAACAACCGATTTCAAAAGTACTTATTTTTTGGTTCAGAATAAAAGAACCAGTTGTGGGCCAAACATAGCAAATGTCATACCAGACTTGACAAAGGCTCTAAAAAGCCCTTGCATGCAAAACTCATTTTATGAGCATTTTTGAGCATCAGTGTGATGGTGCTCATCAAATATGAAGGACTGATGATTATGTTGCTACCTTCATTGTTGTTTTACTTTCTTTTTTTAAGCTCATAAGTGCAATATTTATGAACTAAACTTTCAATTTGAAGGATCACAATGCCATAAAACATGCAAAAAGTAATACCAATTTATTTGGATTTGTTTTCACCAGGATCTTTAGTCACTTTATTAGTTTTACACTCACAAAAATAAATATTTCAACATACAAAGAGTGTAAAAGCATACTTACTTGTAGTCCGATTATCTACTAAAGGCAAGAAATTTGCAGGTGCATCCCATGGAAGCTAAAAATTGAAAATAATGTAAAATTCAAAATCTTAAATAATGAAATACTTTAAGAAAAATTTTTTATTATATCATTAAATAAATTCAAAAAAGCTTTTCTTTTCTCATAAAAAGTAGTTTTTTCAAGAGAACATCTTGTTAATATTACTTGAATTTTATTTTACTAACAATAAATTTATGTTAATATTATAAAATATGCATAACATTTTGCCATGGTAGATTCAATACCTCTTCATTTTTATTAGCAGATACAGATGCTTGAAGTGAAAAATCATACACCATATCTACAAGAAATCTTTATTGTTTTCATATATGTTATCCTTTTAAATATGAGATCAAATATAATACGATCAACAGGACTTTCATTATTTGCTGAATATTTCAAAAGTCAAAACTAAAAACGCTTTGGAATTTTTTGTGATAACCAAGAGTGTGTTTTACCTAAAACAAAACAACAACAAAAAAAGCATCAATAGCAAAAGGTGTAAACATGCCAGTTTAATTTATCATTATTATTCAGTAAATAGTATTGAACATATAATCAACTGGTTATCTCACACAAAAATCAAATACTTTTGTACTAATTTTACAAAAACACTGAATGCTGAGAAACATGATCAAGAAATTAAATGTGATTTTTGAACATGTTTTTATATATACATTTTAAATAATGATAAATACTATTTGTTACCTCAATGTATTTTACACCACCAGGAGGATGAAGAAGAAAATTAATTTCTTCTACTTCATTTTCAGGTACATCAGATAAATCCAGAAACTCCAAATCCTAGAAAACAAAATTCATGTAGATGATGAAATACATATTAAAATAATTTGCATAACTTAAATGAAAGCCAAGATTTTGATGTCTAAACCCTGAAAGTTTTGTTGGTTGTTCTTTTATTCAGGCCAAAATTTTGGCTTCAAGTTAACAATAAGTTCAAGTTTCATTGAATTACTTAATTTAAGCAGAAGGAAATGACATCACATGTAGCTCCATTTAGTTAGCAAAGGGATTGTACAGTATCATCACATTTTCCCACCATTAATAAAGGTTAGTGAGGGAAATATTGCATGTTAGATCTATTAATCAAAATTTTTGATATGATGATATTCAGAATTTATTAATGCTACCCCATGTTCCATAACTTTATAGGGTTCAAATTAATGAAATTATAAATTTCACAGAGCAAATTCAAGGATTTAATTTTCAAGAGATTGATGTGTAAAAGGTTCTGTTAGGAAAAAAATCTAATAAAAATGAAGCATTTCACTTGAAATAAAAGAAATGGTAATTAATACATGCTCAAGAAGTTGTGCTCACCTCAAGTAATAGACAATCAGCAATAGAGTTGTAACTTATTTCCAACTGCTGACTTTAATTCAGGCAGCTTAAATAACAAAGACCATTGAAACTTTTAGATGTTTTCCTCTTAGAGGCAATAGGGGTTCACTTCTCAAAACTAGAAGCATTTAGGATCAATATTTTGACCTGATGTTAAATAATTCTTTATCCTGTATATTTGGATGGTATGTGTACACATTTACAACAGAATTTGTTTTGTAGAGGTGGGTAAGACTATATATATATATACACACACACACACACATACATAAACACACACACAAGTGCCAATATCCTTTTTACAAAACTCCCATAAAAAGTATTTTCCTACATATGTCATTACATTAAATAATTACAACACACTGTTGAAACAGCATTGTAGTTTTCTAGCTGTTCTTGCACACCCAGTCTTGAAGAAGTGAAAATTTTAAACCCACCCTTTATTTTTTAGGGAATCATTAATTCTCTTCTTTAACTACTGTAAAGTGTTGGCCTCCACTATTTCCAACAACTCGTTCCTTGAGTCAGTCATCCTATTAGAAAAATAAAACTGTCTTAACTGGAACCTAGCCTGTTTTTCCACATCTTAAAACTTTTGTACATTCATCCTATTATCTTCAGAATGTAGTATAAAGAAATCTGAGACTTTTATCTTACTGATAAAATTATCTTATGGATAATTTCATAAACTTCAATAAGATCATCTCTTACCCTTCTTTTATCAATAGAAAATAATTCTATCACTATGCCAAGATACTTTTTTTTAGTCTACTTTTGAGTGGGATCCTATCTATATAAAGTGTAATTGAGATTATGATAACCCAAATGCATTACCTTGCACTTATTATAATTATAGGTAATTTACCCAGTATTTATTCAAATTACCAACCAATTAAAGCATTCTGCAATACCTCAACATTCTAAATAATGTTTAATGTCATCAGCAAACTTTATAAATTATTAATAATGCCTATATAAAGATCATTTGTAAATAAGAAAAAGCAAAGGTCAAGCACTAACTCTCGGAGGCACTTCACTAAAACTCAAGGTCCAGACTGGCTGGACTCCATCAGAAGCAACCTACTGACTTCTCCCACCCAAAATCTCTACACTCCAGTTAACTAGTCTTTCCCAAGCCCTACTGATACAACTTTCTTAGCTAATCTTTTGTGTTGCACCTTTACAAAAGCTTTTTGAAAATCTAAGACCAACAAGTCCACACCTTTTACATCATCCAAGTAATAAGCAACATCTTCAAAAAAAATACAAATAGAGTAATAGAACATTTTCCTTTGGTGAATCCATAATGGCTTTCATTCATATCATCTTTCATTAAGACATGATTATTTAAAACTTCTTTTACAACTCTAAATGTTTTACCATTACAGAAATATGACTAACTGGCCAGTAATTTCCATGACAACTTTTATCAATGCCTTTAAAAATAAGAGTAACTATGTTGTTTGACAAAAAAAAGGCACTATTAAGGATTAATCAACTAAAACTGAGAGAGTTTCCAAATGTATTGCAAAGCATTAAAATATGTAATGTAAAAATATCAAAGAAAACACTGTTGATATTCCTCACATTTTTCTTCATATAGTGTTTCATTACTGTTTCTGCACACAACCACTCTTCAGTAAAACTAAAAAACTTAAACCAACTCTGTATTTTTAAGGAAATTATAGATTATCTTTTAAGTTCTTTATGCAAAATGCATAAAGTGTTAATCTTATGAATCCAACAGAAGTATATCAGTATTCTTTGGCCATAACAACTAAGATATTTATCATCTATCAATAATTTAACTAGTTTACCAGCTTACAGAAATAAACCTTCAGCTAAAACGTTTTGAAAGGTATGTTGTTCACACCTACTGGAATACACATACATGCAAAGTAAATACGAGACATAATTCAAATTGGATTAAATTGATGTCATAATTTCTAATACCAACTCTCAACTTTCTTTGCCGTATCTTAAATATTTCATAAATATGCATGTTAAAAGGGTGTTACCAAAAAAAATTACTTTTGATAGTAATTATAAAATCAGTACCACCTAATATTTTTCTCATTAAAATATCTGTACTTGTTAAGTTGTACTGTTTAGTTTTACATGGCTAGAATTAGTTTTTGCAGTAATTACTTTAACATCTTACTTTTTTAACTTTTAAATCTGTATTGTATTTACAAACAACATACAAGTTCACTCATTTTAAAGATACAAAGTACTGCAAATTCCTTTAAAATAATAAATTTTATTCACAAATAAAAACACATACATTTGACACTGATCAGTTGCTATTATTATAAAATTATTTTTAAAAACTGTTGCACTATTAACATGCAAAACAATTAGATTTCATTAATTCAACCATTTATTTTATTAACTACATGTATCAGTATTAATGTGAACCATATGTCAAAATAAATCAATTTTCAAGTGATTAAATCTTACATCTAATGTAAAATCTTGTACAAGTGATATGTCCCATGTTTGAAAACTGATTTCATACACTTTAACAGTGTTCATACTGATACTCGTTGGAAATTTGAAAAAATGTAGAATCATTTAACCTTGATTTGATATTAATGTATTTAATTCATTAGTAGTTATTACTACACCTTTCAGGATTATATATTGAATTAATTAATGTGAAAACTTCAAATTAAGGGTCATAATTTTTAAGTTCAACAATCTGAATTGTCATGGAAAATGTCAACATATAACTTGGACTGTTGGATTTTAGATTAAAACATAAAGCTTCCAAACTTAAAGTTAAATGAGTTAAAGAATCGAATAACGGGAAATAAAAATAAATACAATAAAATAACCCATTAGTAAGTAAATTACCAAAAGAAAAATGTATTGTCTCGACATAGAACTCTTGCCAGAATTGATAAAAATTAAAATACTCGTAAAAGCTTCTCATTAGGCTTAAAGTTTAAAATCGTATCTTAAGAAAAGGCCCAACATAATACCAAAACTAAAAGCTTTCCATTGTCCAAACAATTAAATTTAAAATTCAAACACTATTGCTTTAGACAGATGTATTGTCTCGACAAAGAACTCTTGCCAGAATAGATTTAAATTTAAAATAGAAAAAAATTAAAATACTGGTAAAGGTTTTTCGTTAGGCTTAAAGTTTAAAATCGTATCTTACGAAAATGCCAAAACTAAAAGCCTTCCATTGTTCAAAGAATGAGATTAAATCTAATGTTCAAACACTATTGCTTTAGACAGGTGGGTCTACTTAAACTTTAATAGTTTAAACCAGTAAAGTTAAATTAAGTACTTTCAAAATTAAATTCAATACGATAAAAATGTTACTCGTTTGGCTTAGCAAAGGCTATCTTCTTGAAATGAATATGCTTAGATACAAACCTATTTTTAAATTAAATTTCCTTAAATAGATTTCTGTTTTACAAGGAAATATTACCAGTTTAATGTTATTCATTTCGAAACTCTTTGCGTCATTGTTCACAACACCCGTTAGTCTCTACATCAGTACATGATGATTTCGGCCAAGATGGCGTAAGGATAAGTACTAACAGATGGCAGGAGAGAAGCAAATAAATGGTAAAAATTTTCATTTTGTATGTTTTAATATTAATATGTTTAAAGGCAAAAGATAATACACTCATAACTTCCAAAGTTTGTGTCGTATTATGGAACTTGAAGTTATTGTTATTAAAATGTAACCTGAAAATTATAGGATTTCAAAAAATCTGGAATTAATACAGTCATTAATGAATTGCATTTGATTAACAATCCAATGCAACAATTAAAGTTTAATCGTAAATTTATACATGTTATCCATGAAATTCTTCACATGATTCAATAACAATAAAAAAAAGCTTTGCTTCTCCTGCTGATTGTTTTTACTGAAAACAACATTTAGACGGAACAAAACTATTTAAGAAACCCGAAAACGTGTGTAGTTTTGAACTGAATAATGTATATTCATTTTATTAGCGTGAAATTACATATATTAGCAAAAGACAAACCATTTGTAGATCCTTTGTAAGCTAAACTAACATGAGTCTCCTGTATTGTTAGTTTGTCAATAGATCAATGTCAGTGTGCAGATGTCAAAAATTTTTTAGAATTGTTCATGCCACGCTTTTTTTTTATAACGCGATTGATAAGAGATACCCTACAAAATGTAATCCAATTTGTTTTACTTCTTTACTAGATGGGTCAATATGAGTGCCAAATTCTCAATATTTCAAAATGATTAGCAATGTGTAGCACGTGAGTTTTTGTGTTGAACTACCCATCAATCAACTTATTTTTTCCAAGATCTGCAGTTAAGTACACAATACAATAATGGTTGGAGACGGCTTGAATGGGTAATGAAGAAAAACTTTAAGGAAGTTTAACATAACAGCAAATCAGGTACCTGATGCGACAAAACCTTGTCGAAACGTTGTACATTTGCTGTTATGTTAAACTTATATTAAAGTTTTTCTTCATCACCCATTCAAGCCGTGTCCAACCATTATTAGTCTCAAAGTGGGTTCCTCAACATCGAACATGTATATATTGTTACGACAGCGGAAGTCACGCGACTCTGGGAGCATGCACGATGGAGTTTCTCGAAGTATCATGAATTTTCCTGGCAGCTCAAGTTTGTTCGAGACGCCCTTTTTTTTAGTATATAAGCTTGGCGAGAAAAACCAGCGCGATAGAAGAGATAGATAATTGAGTCAAACGAACAGTATGCACCGTAAGTAAAGTGTGTGAATCACTGTGATTTAAAGCGTGTGTATAAAAGAAGTTAAGTTTAACGTACTGACTGGAAATTCTGTGTATTACAAAGTTGTATCGAAGGAAAAATAAACTGGTTTAACTGAGAAAGGACTTGTATCACTGAAGTCCCTTGGAAAGAATTTATACCGGAAATTAACAAACAAACAGATACGTAACAAATTGGTGTCAGAGAATGGGATAAAGGGGGAAAAAATGGAAACGAGAAGTGGCAAATCAAACTACGACTTAGCAGATTTGATGGCAGAAATACAAGAACAGCAAAAGAAACAAGAAGAACAAAAAAAGAAACAAGAAGAATGAGAAAAGAAACAAGAAGAGAGACAACAGCAGTGGCAAGAAACCCGCAACAGTGGCAGCTCGAACAACAAAATAAACAAGAGAGACTACAGCAGTGGTTGGAGGAGAAACATAATAAACAAGAAGAAAGTCTCCAACAATTGAAAGAAAGCCAGCATACACAAATGGGAAAGATTAGT